TGCATGTTAGTAGTGTAGGAATTCATATTGTTTTGGTCTTATATTTTGGACCTTAGATTAGGATTTTTGGGCTTTAGGCTTATTGGGCCTAGTTTTGGACTTCATGAGCCTTTGGGCTTTTGATACCCAATATTGGACTCATTTTCATTCTTGTAATTTTTTTCTTTCTATTGTATTTGCTTGGACATTGTATTTAGGCCATTAGAATATGAATTTAAGGGAAACAAATAATAGGCATGAAGCATAGAGTTGTAATTACATTTAAGGGTAATTTGAGTTTCATTTGAGTCACATGGTTTGTGCCAAGGGTGGTTGCCCATGTGACTAATCAAATGAACCCTAAATTACACCTAAATGTAATTAGGATTCTAGAAAGGTTGGCTGCACATGGTGGATGAGTGTACGTCCAAAAATTTGAATTCAAATTTGAATTTGAAATTCAAATTTTGGCACCACCTTGAAGCCTTAAGAGTTGGCGCCACTTTCACTTGATTCGTGGCTTATTTAAACTTGATTTCTCTCATTTGTAATCACTTTTGAATGCTAAGAGAATTTCTGAAAATTGTTCAGCCTTATTCTCTCTCAAAGGTCACCGGAATACCTCACCCTAGTCTTAGGAAAACCTACCATTCCTAACCTTGAAGTGAGCTTTCCTTTGAGTCTTTAGCTTGGATGCTTCCATCCTTAGCCTAGGACTCTTCTCTATTCGTTTCTCTCTTCTTTCCTAATCAATCAATCGGTGGATTTCTCAAGGATAAGATCATTGCATCCGGAGGAGGTCAAAGGAGCAAGAACACGTCCATTGTTCCAACCTACTCCATCAGGGTTACTAATGTTTTGAGCTTCATTCTATGTTGTTTATTGTAAATTATCCATGTATATATGTATATGTGTGTGTATGCTTCTTATGTTGTATTTGTGGTTGTCTATCCTTATCTCACACTTGGAGCATGAGTAAATGTATGTCATTCCCTTGTTTAAATTTGTGTTGTCAAGTTTTTTGTTTGGTTGAACACTATGGTAGGTGAGGACCATCAGGATAACAATGGTAATGATGTGTCTTGAAGCCTTGGTCATGTGTATGGGTGATACTTTGATAGGATGTGATATCGAAACTTTTGGTTTATGTTTCTTTCAAATTTTCATGTTGAAACTTTTTTATAACTTATCTAGGACCCTTTGTTATTCTCTCTTGATATTGTAATGGTCATTAGAGTGCCAAAGTCTTTTATTCATCATTTTTTTCCTTATTGTACTTATAGGGTTATTTAACAACACAATTGAGACTTGTTATTTCCTTTGTTTATATTAGATACCTTTTTGGAATTATGTCTATTGTGATAAATGAATATGAGTCCTCAATCCCCAATGCATTTTAAAGAAAGATATTTTTGTTGTTTTTGACTAAAATATTTTTATCTAGGACAACCTTTTTTTTGTTTAATATATGTATTAGCTAGAAGAGTAAAAGGTGACACACTAGGCCATAGACTCTTATTGAGTGATCTAACTTAGTTCCATCCTAATTATAGGAAAAAACCTATTATTTTAATAAATTAATTAACTTTTATTTTAAAGTATAAAATAACAAATACATTATTAAGATGAATAAATATATTTTAATATGGTAATAAAGTTTTATTTCAAAATTATAAGATAATAAAAATTGTTATAGTAAATAATTTTTTATAATATAAAATAATAAACTAATTAAATTTTATTCAAAAATTGTAAAATATTAATAAATTGTTACAATAAACATATATTATTTATGGTAATACATAATTAGTTCTCGTATTTATTGGACTATATGTTATGCTCATTGTTGCGTATACAACTACTATTGGAGAGGGTGTGGTGTTACAATAGTTTGGGCATTTACATGAGATTCCTCATTCTCTATACAAGATTATAGGTCATGTGTCTATTATTGAGATATGCAATTAAAATGTGAAGATAAGACAATACACAAGATCAATCATTAGGGTTGTTTGAAGATGTAACTGTGTAGGGTTCATGTATAAGATAACCTAATTATATATATATATATATATATATATATATATATATATAAAAGGGGGTATATATATAAGATATATACTTTCTTACAAAATTCACATTTAATATAAAGTTATTGAGCGGTGTAATACTTAATAAAAGTTACACTAGTGTAATTATAACCCCCTATATATATATATCACGTTATAATTTTATAATTATATTATAATATTTTTTTTATCATATACATACATAACCATATCATATTACTATTTTATATATCATCATCTATATGTAGCATGTTTTAATTTGTTCGTAAAAATTATTGTAATCTTTTTAATTATAATTTTTTTTTAAAATAGTAGGAAATTTTAACATATAAAAATTAAAATCTAATGCACATGAACGATAACATGAAATAATAATACAATATGATTATTCAAGTATAGGAATATAAAAAATTATTTCGTTAAATTTAACATATAATAAACGAATCTCTAACTTTATAATTAAATTATAAAAATATAAAAAGATGAAAGACTTGATTACAATTTTTTTAGTTTATAGACGTCTTAATTAACTTTTTCAAAAAAGTTCAAAGATCAAATAATATATTATATTTTAATTATATCATACACACAAGATATAACACATACATACATATATTTAATGTTATAAATATTTATATATTGAGAACTACATATATTATTTTGTATAAATACATGAAATATTAAGACTGACATCGATAATATATGATTAGAGTTATTATTGTGAAAAGGGTGTGATGCTAAATTAGTTTGAGCATATACATGGGATTCCTCACTTATTGTGCAAGATTATTGGTCATATATTAGTCATTGAGATATGTAATTAAAATTTTATTTATTATTACCAACACACTCTTAACGATGTCAATATATGACAAAATGCAACTCATTCAACCTTGTACATGTATGGATATTAATACATTTATCGTATCCACCACATTTATCATTAGGACATCTTATTCCTATGGAAAAAATCCTCTAAGACACCCTTCAAAAGTATTAATGTAACTCTCTATAAGTGATCAAGTAAAATATACTTCAATTAACTCCTTGTATTCAATAAGTATATATACATATGCACATGTATCGAGCAAAAAATCATGCTTTTATGGTAATTAATTATGTTAAGCTCCTTGTATATGAATGATTTGAGAGGATTTTCTTAGCTACTTTAATTCATGCTTATTAGACGATGAATACTAAGGAGATTGATGCTTGGAATATCACATAAGACACATTCAGACATCTTCATGATTTTTCTATGCTTTCATCGTACTTTATTTAGGAGAGTGCCATGTCACTATTATGTATTATATTTGATTATGTTGACTTATTTAATTTCTTTATAATTTTTCCTCATATTTTATTTATCAAGTTATTGAAAGCAAATATAAATTAAATGCAAAAATTATCTATTATAAAATAATTGATAATTAAAATAATTTTATATCACTATATAAATTATTTATTATAAATTTTAAATTTTAAATAATAATTTATATATTTTAAAATGA